CGAAGTTGTAACTCTCCCAAGGGACACAGAAAACCCCGAAACAGGGGTTACTTAGTCAACAATACACGGGTTACTTAATCATTTTTGCTGGTGTTACTTAATCAATTATATAGTGGTTACTTAATCATTTTCACTAGGGTTAAGGGCAGGTGGATTACTTAATTAATTAAATAGGGTTATTTAATCATTTCCACATGGGTTATTTAATCATTTTTACTAGGATTATTTAATCAATTATATAAGGGAAGGGGATTACTTAATCAATTATACAGAGGTTACTTATAGGGTTAGGGACAGGGGGTAGGGGTTACTTAATCTATTATATAGGGGTAACTTAGGTGATAGGGACAATGGGCAGGGGTTAGTTAATCAATTATACAGGGGTTAATTATGGGGATAGGGACAGGAGTTACTTAGGAGGTTAATAGATGTGTAGTAGTTACCATTTCAATTGCCTTAGACATTGCCATGTCTTGATCAATGAATATTGAGGAGGGTGACTCCCTCCTATAGATCTCTTGAAATTAGACAAACCCACTCAAATGTCTCAATTTTTTCATTAGCTATAAATGCACAACCAAACATGACATTTTGCTAATAGTTATTGACACCCATAATAGGGGCACAAATGAGGTTGTATTTGTTAGTCATGTATGTTGTGTCAAAAATTGTTACATCCCCATAAATGTGAAAATCCTATTTCATTTCTAAATCCCTTCAATATATGGTTGTTAACTTGTTAGTGTTTTCATCACCTCCCCATTAAAATCTGAAAAAAAAAAAAAAAGTTTTTTCTTCTGCATGTCTCTGATATAAACTGTCCATAACAGTTTGTGCATCCCCCCCTTCAATTTCTTTCATTTTACTTCTTAAAATGTAGTTTAAATGGTCTCTCAAACTATGACCTAACATTTCTTAACCCCCAGCTTCATTATTCATTAGATTGTATGCTTCTGTTGGCCTTAAACCACTCTATACTATAAGATCAATTACTTTTGCTTTGTCTTTAGTGATCTTTCTCTCTGACTTGTGTAGATGTTGCCATGCTTTTCTTGTTAACTCATAATTGTGATTAATGACATGTTCCTCTTTTTCAAACAACCCTACGTATTCTTTTTTACTCTTATGACTGGCTTGCATCTTCTTCTAGTTATAGGAGTTTGTTTTACTTTTCTTCTTTTTCATTTGCTGGAGGAGGAGTTTTTTTAACCTTGGGAGTGGGATAAAGGATTTTAACACGTCGTTATATGCTCAAATTTGTACGAACAAAACTTGTAAACACTCAACAAATCCTAAACACTAGTATAGGGGTAAGTCAAGGGTCGATCCACGAGGAATGGGAGAAAGGTTGCTAAAGCCTAAAGTCAAGCTACTTCGAAGCTAAGGAAGGTGTTGATATGTAGACTACGTCCTATGTTATCCAAGCAACTAAATCACAAGAGAAAATCGATATCACAAACACTAGGGATTAGGATCCACATGCAATCAAATAGGGATGCTAATTAAGGGGAATCGATCAATCAAACATTGCAAGGGCAAATAGAAATTGCAATCTAAAGAACTCAAAAGGTTATCTCCTAGAAGTCAAGCTAGGTTTCCTCTATGAATGACTAACAAGAAGAATCACAATTCAAACTCAATCAATAAATGCAATCCCTAAATCAAGCGGTCATGTCATTAGGAAATCAATGCAAGCAAGCTTGAAAATCTAGGTTACTACTCCTATCAATCCAAACACATGCGTAATTCTATCAACCAATTTAATTACAACATTCAATCAATCAAATTCCTTTAATTAGCAATAATCCATCATTCATGCATGCTTCATCGTAACCCTATCAAAGATTCCACTCACTAATCATCATAAAGTGAAGAAACAAAACAAAGCAAATCATCATCATTATCATAATTGCAAATGAAATAAAAAAATCTAATCAATCAAGCTAAATCAAGTTCAAACAAGAAAAATAAAATGCAAATTTCATCAATCAACAAAAATCTAAAAGTAAGGATTGAAAGCAAGAACAAAGGAAATCTTACAAACTTGAAGATCAAAAGGAAATCAAACTTGAATAAGATAGAATTGAAGATCAAATGTTGAAATCTACAACTTCTCTCTCTAGTTTCTCTCTAAATTCTCTCTCTAGATTAAGCTAAATGAAGTATTCTATGTTGTTCTCCAAAAAGGATTTACAAGAGTATTCATAAAGAAAGAACAAATTCCAGTCGTGCACACTCTCCTGAATACACCGCGCCCGCGAAAATATGGGTACGGAATGTCCAACAAACATCGCGCCTTATTTGAGTGAGAGCCAAACCCGTGGTATCTGGGGTCGTGCCCGTGGTGAGGGCATGCAAGATGCCCTACTCCCGAAATGAATCAGGGGTGCGCGCCCTCTCAAGACGTGCGCGCTCTCTCCAAAAACTGTGCGGCCGCGGCTGAGGTGCGGTGAGGGTGCCCACCTATTCTTCATTTTTTTTATCCAAAATGCACCTAAGGCCGAAGCGCCCGCGACGAGTCCAAATGCTGCGCACCCTCTTCGATGGCACGCCGGGATGCCTTGCTTCTTCCTTATAGCTTATCTTGATTCCAATCACAAGCCAACTCCTTAGGTACCTGCAAAAGACACCAAGGAAGAGGAGGAAAAACCAAATAAAAAAGGGAGGAAAGAACACAAAACAAGAAAGAAGTAGAGAAACTAAGGAAATAGACTAAACCAAGAAAAGAAAGCTATGAAAACAAGGCAAAAATAACCTAAAAGACTACCAGATGAGTACCATAAATGACATTCATTAGAATGCATATAAAGCCTTATTTAAAACAAACAAATTATTTTCCTTTTATTTGTTTGTTGTCTCCTTCTGTCCATCTGGTGGTTGATTATTGTCTTACTCCAAATCCCATAGAAAAAGCATGCTTTATATATATATATATATATATATATATATATATATATATAGCTCATGGATTTCATCCAAAGTTGCTACTGTAAAACCTATTAGGCTTCCTGTATAATCATAATTTTCTTCTTGCTAAGCTTTACTCTGTTGTGTCTAAATGATATCATTTTTGATTTCTTCTGTTAATGTGCTCTAAGTCTTTTCTGTTGTGTTGTCACTTGTTTCTGTTGTTAATGTGCTGTTTTTTATTTATGTAAGAAAAATCAGTAGAGTTACAGTTAACATGCAAAATATCCAATGGAGTTATAGTTATTAAGGTTACATACACAGTGATTAATTGGTGGGGTTACTTGGTACATAGGGGTTACTTAATCAGGAAGAGGTCACTTGGTTGATTACTTGTTTAGATATGCAAAGGTTACTTAGAGGGTTACTTGGAATTTTGGTGTCACTTGTTAAGATATGTAAGTGTTACTTGATCAAATATACTGGGGTTACTTAGGGGGTTACTTGATTTTTGGGGGTTACTTGTTTTGGTGGGATTACATAAGGGGTTACTTGATTTTTGGAGGTTACTTGGATTGGTAGGGTTACTTAAGGGGTTACTTGATTTTTGGGGGTTGCTTAGTTAGATATCTGAGGGGGTTACTAAAGGGGTTACTTGGTCAGATATGGTGGGGTTACTTAGAGGGTTACTTGATAATTGGGGGTTACTTTGTCAGATATGGTGGGGTTACTTAGGGGGTTACTTGATTTTTGGGGATTAAATATCTGAGGGGGTTACTAGGAGGTTACTTAGTGGGTTTCTTGGTTAGATATGGTGGGGTTACTTAGGGGGTTACTTGATATCTAAAGGGGTTACTAATTACTTAAGGGTTAGTTATGGATGTTATTTAGGGGGTTACTTTGTATTTAGGGGTTACTTAGGGGGTTACTAGGTACTTCATAGCAGACATGAAAATTTAAATATATTTACCTTCTAATTCGATGTTTTCTAAAATGTGTTCTTTGATTTCTCTTGCGATCTCTAGAGTCATTAATGAATCTCTAATTTCTTTCAATTTCTATTGATTCTTCTGAATCTGGAAAATTTGAGAATTATAAATATATATATATATATATATATTATATATATATATATATCATATTGAAGAGATAAATTTGGCTACATCTCAATTTGTTGGATCTACCACCGTTGAGAATTTTTTGTTTTCTGAAAGCGGGTTGTTCGTTAAACGACGCTCTCATTTTATCAGGTAACGCCCGCATTTAAATATGAATGGACGAACATACCCTCGTCAATATTCCACAATTTTCTTCTCTTTGACTCAATGAAACATTCTCTCATCCTACAAACCGCCACCAACCACCACTGATCGAGGGCGAGATCATCGCCGGAAATTTATGTCGCGTATTTTTTTTTTTTTTAAAAAAAATTTTGGGTGTAAGCAAATGCCTAGTTTTTTTCAAAAATCCTAGGAGAAAACGCCTAGAATTTTTGAAAGTCCTAGGAAGAAACTAAAATTCTGGCCTTTCTCCCCATGGAGTTTCGAAAATTCTAAACGTTTTTTTGCAATGTTTGTTTTTATCATAGCTTTTGATCCCGAAGTTGAATTAAGACAAATAATATATCGTTGGAAAGATATGAATGTCTACTTTATAACCCAGTTGAAATCAACTTAATATCAATTTTAGATATTAAGATATGGCCGAGATAGTGCAAGAGTATCGGTTTTTGACCGAGTTTAGTATTTAAGCCATATCTTAAAATCTAAAGATGATATTAACTTGATTCTAATTGGGTTAGAAAGTAGACATCCAGAGCTTTTCAACGATATATTATTTGTCTTAATTCTACTTTGGGATCAAAAGTTATAATAAAAAAAACATTGTAAAAAAATTGAGAAAAAACGCCTAAAATTTTCGAAACTCCATGAAAGAAACGTCTAGAATTTAAGTTCCTCCCTAGAAATTTCGAAAATTCTAGATGTTTTCTCCTAGGATTTTTGAAAAACTAGGCGTTTGGCCTCCACCTAAGAAAAAAAAATATATCGACTTAAACTTGGCGATAACATCGCCCTAGATCAGTGATGGTTCTGTTGGTTTGTTAAATTAGGATGAGAGAATGACACAATATTGAGTTAAAGGGAAAAAAAAAAACGTGGTATTTATGCGAGCGTATGTTCATCCATTCATGTTTAAATGTGGGCGTTACCCGATAAAATGAGGGCGTAGTTTAGCTTTCCACCACTTGTGAATTAAGATTTTATTTTATTTATTTATTTTTTTAATTTTTTCCAATTGCAATTGAAACACAAAGTACAAAGAAGCAATTATCTTTGCAATGGCTCATTCAAAACGCTAAATTAGCGGTTTAGCTTGCTCAAACAGCTGAAATGCTCAAACAGCTTTGAAAATGCTCTCAACAAAACGCAGCAAAAGACATTTCTCTCGCGTAATAAATTACTCTGGTAGTACTGGTATTAAAAAAGTCTAACGACTTGAAGTTCGTAGAATTGACGTGGCAACTCCAAAAGTACTAGACAACTAAGCAAGATGCTTCTTTAACATTTTCAGACCAACCCCCGCCTCTCTGAGTCTCTTCTTCTAGACGGCATCTTCACCATTGTAAAACTGTTCATTTCCACCACCTTACAATGGTAAAAGATCAAAGAAATCGTAAATCATCTGACAAAAACTTCTTGATAGGATTCACCTGCAATTCCGCCGCCGCATTCAAACTCATCCTCGCCGCCCTTGTCCTCCTCTTGATCTGTACTTGCGCCGTTTTCCTCCAATTCCTCCCCACTTACTTCCCTCCCTTCTCTTGCGCCACCACCACCACAACCACCGGACAACCATCGCCACCACCACCACCAAAAGTAGATCAGATTCTCGAACACGGTGTCGTAAAACGATGGTTTCAACCATTTGGGTCCGCCGCGTATAGCTTTATCTTAATGTCCGCCTACCGCGGCGGACCCAATACTTTTTCCATTATTGGACTCTCTTCAAAGCCACTACAAGTCTACTCTCGCCCTACATACTCTTGTGAGTATCAAAATTCGAATAATAATAGCTCATCTTTTGTCAAAGCTTACAAAATTCTCCCTGATTGGGGGTTCGGAAGGGTATACACAGTCCTCGTCATCAACTGTACATTTCCTGCTGGGATTGCAGATGATTCATCCGTTGGTGGCCGGCTTATTCTTCATGCTCCGGCTACTAATCAAAGGAACGAATCGCTCATTGCTATAGTGGAACCACCAAAATCATGGGATGTATCTCATTTTGTTTCCCCGCCGAAATACGACTACCTCTACTGCGGTTCCCCACTCTACGGCACCCTCAGTCCTCAGAGAATGCGAGAGTGGATCGCCTACCACGTGAGATTGTTCGGGGCGAAGTCTCATTTCGTAATCTTCGATTCCGGAGGTATCCACCCCGAGGTCTTCGAGGTGTTGAAACCGTGGATGGACCTCGGGTATGTTTCCTTGCAGGATGTCAAGGAGCAAGAGAGATTTGACGGGTATTATCATAATCAATTCCTTCTTGTTAACGATTGCTTGCATCGATATCGTTTCGATGCTAAGTGGATGTTCTTCTTCGATGTGGATGAGTACATTTATGTTTCTCCGAAGTTGTCACTTAGATCCGTCACTGATTCGCTTGAGGAATTTACTCAGTTCACGATTGAGCAGGTTCCCATGTCTAATAAGCTCTGTCTTACTCAAGATTCTGGCAAAACATCCGAGTACGTTTCAATTTCTTACTCTACCTTAATTTTATTTGTCTGTTCATATGTTTATACTAAGATTATTATTGATAGAAATTGTCATTAATTAAATTTGTAATGGACATGGTAGATTTACTAGATTTGAGGTTCCCTCACAATAGGAAGGCAGAGTAACGTAGATATGAAGCTTAGTTATCTTAGCTAGCCCTCCTATTTCTGGGCATGAGGTAAGGAATCAAATCTCATCGAACTTATGGAGTAAATCCGGTCATCAAAACAGTAAAAAAATAAAATAATAAAAAAAAAGTAGCATAGTTACTTTGGTAAAGTGTTTAAGAAATTGAGATATGTGTTGAAATTTGTGGTTTTTTTTTTAAAAAAAAAACTATATTTGATTTTCCTGCAAAGTCATGCTAAAGATTTATTAGCCAACATGCTAAGCAAACGCTGTGGATAACCGAAGTTGGTATGCAGTATGCTGATATTTTCTGAAATTAATATTGGATGGTGCTTTCGGCTTGTAATTGAGTTCTAGAATTTTTATATTAGACGCAACTTTACTAAATTCATAATCCACAATACGCAAAGCTTGATTTTGTGCCAAGTTATCAAATTATTTTGAAAGGACAAATCGTAACTGTTTTCAAGTTCGCTGGAGTTCATAACAAACATTTTATTACTCGTATTAAATACTAAATTAAGACTTTAATTATTTCTAGATACATCTGGATGTATAAAAAATATAGTTGCTTTTAATGCCTCTGTCTATTCTTTGCAAGTTTAACACCATAACTTAGGTAGTTTTTGATTTGTACATTACTCCCTCATTCCTTTGTTTATATGCCTACTTTCCTTTTTTGGGGTTTCAAAATTACATGTCTATTTCTATTTAAAAAATATACTTTTTGACAATATTCCCTCTTTTTGATGAATTGTCATTATTATTTTTAATTTTTTTTTTTTGTACTTTTGGCATCATTTTCCAATATTTTCTTTCTATATCTCTTCAATAATTACTTACTATCTTTTCTTTCTCTCTATCTCTATCTAATCCACATGCATATTTGTACTTTTCAATCATGGCTTTTAAGTTTCTTAATTCCCGTATAAAATAAGAAATAGACATGTAAATAAGGGACGGAGGGAGTAATATTTTATACTTTGTTTATTGTTATTTTAGCATCAACATCTTCCCCAAAACAACTTGCACTGAACAATTACAAAAATTAAAACAGCTGTACTAGTGTCAATTTTATTAATTTATGTGGCTAATGGCTATCAACTTTGTCCAATGACTCATTTATCATATGACGTACTGCATGTTACGTGAATGTGAATGATAATTATGTGAAAATCAAAGATTTTTCATAGTAATTAATTACTCTTTTCTATCGAAACATGTCAAATGACTTGTTGGAGGATTAGTTATTTACTGATAGTGATGGGCTTGTTTCTTGTTTTTTTTTTTTTTTTTTTTTTTTTTGGGAAAACAATATCTAGGCATCTAGCTAACCTAGTTTATGCAATGCACACACTTTGGTGCAAAGTACTGGACCCCATTAAATATTCTGCTTGGTTTAAATTTTGATCTTTTATGTATGCTACTTTACATAGAGAAAAATATACTCCCTTCGTTTTTTGAAGTGTCCACTTTTTTTTTAAGTGTAACATTTAAAAAAATAACAAAAATTGTATATAATAACCTAAAAATAAATCGATTTAGTGAGCATAACACTTGAAAAAATTAAATGTGTACTCCTATTAACTTTAAAAGACTGATTTTAATAAGTGCATTTGAAAAAATAGAGGTAAAAAATTAAGTCTTAGCTTTATATTAATGTTTATTTTCAAATACATATTTTTAAAAAAAAATTATTACAATATTAAAGATATTAAGTGTAGCATACACATACATTTATTTATAATCTGATATGAAATAAGTTAATGGAATTAGGTGATTTTAACATAGCTTAGTAAATGTATCAACTGAAGTGATCGAAAAAGTACTTCATTCGTTTTTTTAAGTGTTTCATACCCTTGGGTACATAATTTTAGGCAAAAGAATAAAATAATATATGAGTTGGGTATGGTTTTGAATAAAATTTTTTGGATAAGTAAGAGAGAAATATAAATGGGAATCACTAAAATTAATGTGAGAGGGAGAAATATATTATAAAATGGTAGTGAGGTTAAAAAGAAGAAGAAAAAAAATAATATATTGAGTATAATGCAGGGTTTTCAATTTTGAGAAGTGATACGTTTAAAATCATCTCCAATTTTGAGACTTGAGGCTGTTTTTTAAGAGAGAGAGAGTATGTTTTACAAAAAATGTGGACTCCTTATCAATATTATAATTTATTTAAGTTTTAATTTTTTTTTAAAAAAAACTTACAATATGGATTAGTTGGGCCATAGATTGAAAATGACATTAGTATACTTTAGAGAGTCTCACCATTGGAAAATTAGATTTTACATGAGTTACTAAATTGAGAAATTTGTTGGGTTTCACCATTCGATGTAAAAAACAACTTATTTTGTATTTCAATACTCAAAGTTGAGTCTTACCAATAGAGATGGTTTAAGAAAAACGGAATGAGTATTGTTTACTAGAGGAAGTACTAATGCAGTATTGTTATGCATTTGCAAATGCATAACAAATACTAAAATATTAAAAATCACATACATGTAAAATAGAGAAAGGTGAGTGAGATCACTTTTAATTGTACCATTGAAAGCTTATATAATACCATTGGTTATTTAGTGATACTATATAGGCACGTAGTTACTACCATTAAATGCATATATAGTACCATTACATACATATATAGTACCACTGAATATTCAATGGTACTATTTGATCATCTAATGATACTATTGATCATTCAATGGTACTACTCTAAAATTAAAATATACATTACGTGTAATTACGGCTTTACCTCTAGTTATATAATTGTTTATGCATAACAATACTCCCTCTAAAATTCCTTTCTATATTTTGGAAGGAGCGACCTTTGTGGGGACAGGGAAACGTGTGAGTATTGGCATTTGATTCTTCTCTAGAATTGCCTTAATGATAAGATTCTTGATTGAAAAGCATCATTTTCTTTGATAATAACAATCTTGTAATAAATCCGTAGAATTTCCCACTATTTGACTTGATCTTGTCTTTTGCTACTACGTTGATGCTTCTAATTGACACAATACTCACTTTGGTTACCCTACACTATCAATTTCAGAAAATGGGTGATGGAGAAGCTTGTATATAGAAACGTAAAGAAAGTAGCAAGGAGGGACCGGAAGTACGCGATACAACCACGAAATGTATTTGCCACCGGCGTTCACTTGTCTAAGAACTTCGAGGGTGAGTCCGCTCATAAAACCGAAAAACTCATCAAGTATTTTCACTACCATGGTACAATAGCCACTCGCCAGGATACATGCCAACAGTTTATCAACGACACTTCAACAACAATAGGAGACGACACCCCCTTCATTCTAGAAACTAACATGAGAATGATCACCCCGAGTGTCAAAAGGTTTGAACTCGAAACCATTGGAACTATACTTCAATCTACAAGGCAATGACAAATACACTTCACTAACAATGGTATGGTCATTACATCAACAGACAATTGCCATAAAAAATGGCTAATTTTTTTTAATGTTACAAAAATTTGTAACATTGACGAACAATGTTAGAAGGGAGGATCAAATTAAGCTGGCTGATCAAGTGGATAAAGGAATCCTCAACTTTTTTGAATTTTATAAAAGTCATTAAATGACAGAAGTCTGACAGCTGGGCCAAGCGAAGCTTGGAATTAGATAATTGAAACCCACATCGTAGGATTCGTTGATTTCATTATAGATGTACAATTGCACATGCTACTCTTTTCTTCATTAATTTTATTTTTTTTCTAAATTAATACTTTCTTCGTATTTTTTTAGTTGACAGCATTTGACTTTTGCACTATTCATAAACTACAATTTGACTAGCTTTTATAATTTACAGCTACAATAAAACATAATTAAGTGGGATCTTGTTTGAATGGTCTCAATGTATATTTTATTAATATCGACTTTTTATAATTTTGCAATATCGAGAATTAGGGATATTAATCGTTAAAATAGTGTGTTGGCAAGCGTGATAAAAGAAACGTGTCAACTAAATAAAAACGGAGGTAGTATTATATTTCTTTTTCCTTTTTTTTTAATGTACTCCGTATTTTTTACTTCGTATTAATTTATTTTGTTTTATGCTGAGAGAAGTTGTGCATATTCTTCTCCTTTTGTTCTTTAAATGAGTTCGATCTCCGAATGTAATTTGTTACAGCAAAAAAAATTACATACATTAAAAATTATTTTATTTTTTATTTAATTTTTGAATAAAACACAAAATTATTTATGTTGATCATTTAAATTATCCTTGTAAATTAGTTGTAAGTCTCTTGACTGACCTATAACAAGGGTGTTTGCAATAATCAATGATATGATGAACACAAAGAATTAGCTCTCTCCGTTTTCTTTAATGTATAGAAGAAAATGCACTTAGGCCCTGTTCTTTTAAGTTGCTTTACTCTGCTCTGCTCTGCTGAGTCCTGCTTTGCTCTATTCTGCTCTACTTAAATATGCTCTGCTTAAAAATAATTAATAATGATAATAATAATAATAATAATTAATACTTAATAATAATAATAATTCATATTTTAATAATTAAAATTTAATATTAATATTAATAATTCATATTTAATAATAATAATTCATATTTTTAATAATAATAATAAAAATAAAAATAATGAAAATAATATTAATTAATAATAATAATAATTACTTTTACATAATAATAATTTATATTTAATGATAATAACTAATATTTAAAGATAATAATAATAATAATAATAATAATAATAATTAATATTTAATAATAATAATAATAATAATTAATATTTAATAATAATAATAATAATAATAATAATAATAATAATTTTGAAATCTGCTCTACTGTGCTTTGTTGAAATCTGCTCTGTTTTGTTGATCCCTGCTCTGCTCTACTGAGAAACTCAAAAGAACAGAGTCTTAATCTACTACAGACCCCGAATAACTAGACCATGCATGTTTCGGGGTTTTTAGAGATTCTCTTTGGATACAGATCTTCAATAGCACTGGGACAGTAGTAGACACCTGCAAAACAACAAATATTTCATAACCGGAATATTCGTCTCCGACGATTAAGTTCGTAACCGGAAAACGGAGGACTTTTTGAGAGAGAAAGTAGAGAGAAGTTAGAGCAATCATCAATTAATAATGCCTTGAATGTAATGTCTCAATCCACCCCTCCTGTTTCGGGGTTTTTGGAGTCCCTCGGGAGAGTTACAATTCCAAGAATGGATGTCGGGCGTCTGTACTTGCAAAACCACGAAAACTCCGGTTGGGTGGAGTTCCGCCTCTGACAATCAAGTTAGTATGAGTACAAACGGAGTTAAAAGTGCGGAATGTAAAGAGTTTCTCTCGAATTTCGAGAGAGAGTATTTGCAATTAATATTGCTCTGTTTTGAGAGAATTTCTCTGAATGTGCAGTAAATGGGGATCTCTCCCTATTTATAGGGTTTGAGGATCAACTCCTTTTTCATTACATGGATTGCCACGTGTCGTCAGAGGATTGGTTCTTTCAAAACCTCTCTGAGGCTGACACGGGTCAGCATGCGGTTGGTCCACGTGGACAGCGGTATTTTTACCCTAAACAGTTGCCCCTCACAGGTGTGATGTGGCTTAGAAGGTGACGCTTCGCCTCCTTCTTTTTTTTTTCTTTTAAGGTGATGGTTGGCCTTCTGGGGGATTTCCTTCTATAAGTAGAAGTCACCCCCCTCATTTTCCTCACTTTCACATTTTGAGAAATTTTTCAGAGAGAGAGAAAAGAGAGCTCTGAGATCGGCTGTTATTTCTTTCACAACCGCCTGCCCCTTCTTCACTCAAACGGCAACCGTCTGGGTACCCATTGCTCAAAACTCATTAGCACCGTTTGAGTATACTTTAATTGCTTCCCTCTAATTTCAATACACCCTCATCCGGTCAACCGTCTTGGGTATCATCAAGCAAGATTTCAGAGAAACGCTTGGGTTCTTCAACAATTTTTGATTGCTTTCAAAAGGGGTACATCCGGAGTACTTTCTGGGTATCTAGTAAGCAACAATATGATTTCCGGCTGCTGATTCAGCTAGTCAACCATCTACACTTTTAAAGCTTCTTCAAGGTACCGTCTCTACCCCTTGCAACTCTTTTGAGCTTTTTCGGTTGTATGCTTTGTAAAGAATAATGGACTCACCCAACATACACACGGCACGACCTAGGACAGTTGTCAGCCGGTTTCCTGATACGATTGAGTCTAGAACTGGGGATGCCGTCTAGGGGTGTTTGGACCACCCTTTCTCTTCCACGAATCCGATCATCTCTGTGCATGTGCAGGACAGGATGGCTCGGACGAAGCGGACGACTGTTGAGCTCGACTACAGATCAGACGGCTCCGTAGAAGCGCCAGCTGATATAGAACATTTTGACCCTCCGGGTGTACCTAGCACACCCAGTGATGACATTTTGGAGGAGTCTAAGGACATAGGCGGTGATGAAACCGTCCAACAATCAGACTCTGAGGAGTCAACATCCTTAGAACCGGATGCCTTCTGGAGGATGAGGAGGCATACAAACGACCCTCCATTAACAACCCTACTGAAGCAAGCATGTCCGCCAGGGACATCGCTACTTTTAGTGCCACCTTCCCCGCCTTTATTAAGAAGTGCCCAATTGGGGATAGGTGGGAAGTATTAGTGCCGCTTGCAGAGGCAATCGTCATCTGGGAGGACGACATTGATCACGCCGACAACTATTTCGGTTGTTATGAGGCGGCATTTAAAGCCGGCCTCCGGTTCCTTCTTCACAACGCCATCAGAGCTATCTTAAAAGGCTATGATTTCGACATCTGGCAGTTAACACCCAATTCCTAGGTGAACATTTTAGGGTATATTGCCGCCTGCAAGATGTAGAATGTGACGCCTAGCTGGGAGGTGTTTTCACATATGCACTACCTTAGTCGTGCCCCAGGCGGCTGGCGGGCGTGGTATACTTTGACCACTCACTCGGAATACATGATGACGCTTCACAAGCCGTCTAAATGGAGTAGTTTGAAGAGCAAATTTTACTTAGTCTCTTCTCCCTCCTACCGCCTAAACCACTAGCTTCGGCACTATAATAGGGATCCAACTCTTCTATGGAAGAAGTGTGCCCTTCCCCACGTCTCAGTGGAGGTGTACACACAAATAATAGAGGCGGGCCTGTTTGAGAAAACAACAATGCCCCTAGATGACGGGTCCGAGACCATTGTACCCAAGAATTGGGTACCCCATTCGGACTGGCTTAAGGATGAGGCTTTCCTCTCTACCTGCGCCCTTAGCACCTTTTTCTGCAGACGTATGTAGAGAAGTTAACCGGCTCTTTTCTGCCGTCTATAGTATTTTGAGTTATATTTGACATTGATTTTCTTTTTGCAGAAAAAGGATTAGAAATTGTGCCACTTGAGAAGACACCGACTAAGTCTGCTGCCCAGATCCGAAAGGATCAATTAGAAAAGAGGAGGGCCCAAATGGGGGCTAAGGACAATGGGGTAAGCTCCGGCTGAGTCCTTTTTAACGTCTGTGTAGTTTGATGTCAATTATGATATTAACCGGTTGCTCTGTTTCTTTTTCAGGCGGGGAGCAAGAATGTTCCTCGCTCCATTGCAAAGATGTTAAAAAGACCTTCAGAGGAGCCCTCCCAGCCTCCTTCTATGACAAGGAGGGTTCCGACTTCCCCTCCCTCTTCTGGAAAGCCGCCTGTATCTGTCAGGCTTACCTCAGCAGGCAAGAGCCTGAAGGACCTTGGTCTAAACACAAGACTGGCTGATATTGAGACGAGGGAGCCTAAAACGCCCTTGAGCCGGCAGCCAACTCCAACAACCGGCTCCAATGCGGCTGGGGGTAGGATGACCCCTCGGCCTGAAAAGTGAAGGTATGGCTTTCACCTTTGATCCCCCCTGGCCGCTTGGGCCTATGCGAGTCAAGTCCTAAGCTACCCAATCAGGGGATTCCTTCGACAACCGACAGAATATAGGTGCCGCCTATGCTCGTTACTTAACACATAACTCTGTTGGTGCATATGCCTTTTCCCGTTGGCGTGACCTCCAACAATATGCAAAGAGGATGCTGAGGACCCTCACCCGGTCCGAGAAGGAGGCGGTGCCGGGTGTGCACCAGGTCAACATTGACCATATCAACTCGTTGCTTGCTGAGGTAATTTTCCGGTTGGGGTACTTTTGTATAATATACTCTTTTTGCCGGATGTACCATAATTGAGAGACTAACCCTTTTCCGGCTGATGTTGCAGGTGATGCTGAGGGTAGACGAACTCAAGGTTCCCTTGAGGAAGAAGCAGGAGGAGGTAAAAGACACTAATAGGCGGGTGGCTGACCTCATTAATGTTACTCAATACAACACATTAATGTATGAAATAAAAACTAAAAGCTGGGAGATGAAACAGGAGGAGCTTATCAAGGAGCTCACTGCGGCTGCGGACACGGCCAACAAGAAGGCCGCTGACTTTGAGCTGCAAGTGAAAAATCTCCTGGCCGATGTCAAAGCGCTTGGGGATTCCAACAAGGAGAACACCCAACTAAGGGCGGACGTCTCTCGGCTGAAGAAGAGGCTGGCCCAGACGCAGGCTGATTACAAGGCTGAG